ACCCCCCACCCCCACTTGAATTTTGAGCCATGGAGCAATTAGCAATGCAGTCTTCCTCTAAACTGCCATCTTGAATTCTTTTTTTTTCCCCTTGAGTCAGGATCTTGCTAAATTGCTGAGCCTTACTTTGGACTTGGAATCCTCCTGCCTTAGCCTCCTGAGCTGCTGGGATTACAGGCATGTGTCACCATGCCAGGCACATTTTTACTTCTTCTTTTGAGAAGTGTCTGTTCAGCTCATTTGCCATCTGTTGATTAGATTACCTGTCCTTTTGGTGTACCATTTTTGGGTTCTTTATATATTCTGGATTTTAATCCTCTGTCAGATGAGTAGCTGGCAAAGATTTTCTCCCATTCGGGAGGCCATCTCTTCACTCTTGATTTTTTTTTCTTTTGCTCTGTACAAGGTTATTAATTTGATGTAATCCCATTTGCTGATTCTTGCTTTTGTTTCCTGAGCTACTTGAGGCCTCTTCAGGAAATCATTGCCTATACTTATATCTCAAAGTGTTTCCCCTATATTTTCCTCTAGTGGTTTCAAGGTTTCAGATATTACATTAAGGTCTTTGATTTATTTTTACTTGACTTTTGTATAGGGTGAGAGATAGTGATCTAATTCCAGTCTTCTACAGGTAGAAGTCCTATTTTTCCAACACCATTTGCTGAAGAGGCTATCATTTCTCCAATTTTTGTTTTTGTCTCTTTTATCAAAAATCACATGGCTGTAGAATGCATAGGTTTATTCCTGGGTTCCCTATTCTATTCCATTGGTCTACATGTCTGTTTTATATGCCAATACCATACTGGTTTTGTTACCATTATTCTATAGTATATTTTGAAATCAGGTATTGTGATATCTCCAGAATTGTTCTGTTTGCTAGAATTGCTTTGTCAATTCAGTGTCTTTTGTGTTTCCAAGTGAATTTCAGAGTTTTTTTTTTTCTAGCTAGTTCTATTAAGGATGTCATTGGAAATTAAAAAAAGGATTTCACTGGCATTTTGATGGGAATTGCAATGAATCTGTATATCACTTTTGGTAGTATGGCCATTTTAACAATATTAATTCTCCCAATCCATGAATATGAGATATCTTTCCATCTTCTAGTGTTTTATTCAACTTCTTTTTACTGTGTTTATAATTTTCATTGTGGATGTCTTTCACCTTTTTAGTTGTTTATTCATAGATGTGTGTGTGTGTGTGTACACACACGCTCACACACACACATGAGTCTATTATGAATGGGATTGTTTTCCTTCTTATTTTTTAATCTTTTTTTGATATATATGTGTGTGTGTGTGTGTGGTGCTGGGGATTGAGCCCAGGGCCTTATTCCTTATACATACTAGGCAAGTGCTCTACAACTGAGCTACACCTCCAGCCCTGTTTTCCTGATTTCTTTCTCAGCAAAATAATTGTTGGTATATAGGAAAGCTACCTATATGTTTTTATATGTTGATTTTTGTATCATGCTACTTTGCTGAATTTATTAATTTTAAGAGATTATTGTGGACTCTTTGGGTTTTCTGAGTGTAGAACAATATCATCTGCAAACAGGGATGCTGTATCTTCCTCGTCTCCTGTTTGTATTACTTTTATTTCTTTCTTTTGCTTGATTGCTGTGGCCAAAGTTTCCAACACTATATAGGAATAGACAAATGGTAAGAATGGACACCCTTGTCTTATTCCTGATTTTAGAGGAAATACTTTACTTCCTCCCCCTCCCCCCCCGCATTCAGTATGATGTTGGCAATGGATTTGTTGTGGGTAGCCTTATTATGTTGAGGTATGATCCTAGTTTATCAGGATTTTTATCATGAAGGGATGTGGAATTATTGAAGGTTCTTCTAGCATCTATTGAGATGATGCAGTTTATGTGGTATATTACATTATTGATTTATGCTTCTTGAATCAACTTTATATTCCTGGAATGAAGCCATTTTCAACATGGTGTATGATCTTTTTCATTGATGTTGAATTCAATTTATAAATATCTTATTGAGGATTTTTGCATCTGTGCTCATGAAGATTATTGGCCTATGTTATTGTAACTTGGGATTACAGGTGTGCACTATTGTGTCTGGCAGTCTGTGTCTTTTAATTGGGGAATGCAGACCATTTACACTCTTGGTTGTTGTTGTTATTGTTGTTGTTGTTATTTAAACATCAGGCCCAGTTCTTATTTTTTTAAATATTTTTTTAGTTGTCAATAGACTTTTATTTTATTTGCTTTTATGTGGTGCTGAGAATTGAACCCAGTGCCTCACACATACTAGGCAAGTGCTCTACCACTGAGTTACAACCCCAGTCCTGGTTATTATTGAAATGTTCCAGTTCCTTACATTTTGTTGTTTTTCTTTTGGTTGTTTTGAGAATTTTATATTTTTTTCCCTTTCCCTCATTCATCTTAGGGGTTTGATGATTTACTGAAATAATCAGTAAAGAGAAGAGGCTGTTAAGTCTTAGAGATTTAAAAATGTAGGGTCCCTTCCTATTTTTGATTTGCATAAGTACTCTTCTAGTGCAATTTATTCTTTCCTATGCTTTTGTGGTTGTATTTATCTTGCTTCCTCCTCTGGGCATAGGATTCCTTTGAATATCTTCTGTAGTGCTGATTTAGGGGTCATGAATTCTTTTAGTTTATGCCTATCTTGGAAGGTCTTTATTTCTTTTTTCAATTCTGAAAGATAACTTTGCTGGACATTGTCATCCAGGTTGGCACTTACAGTTTTTTAGGCCTTGAAATGTATCATTCCATTCCTTCTGGCCTTTAGAAGTTCTCAGAAATGTGCTGCTGTTCTTGTGGGTTCGTCTTCATAAGTGAATTGATGCTTCTCTCTTATAACTTTTATTATTCTGTACTTTTGGTATTTTAACTATGATATGTTATAGAGAGGTTCTTTTCTGGTCATGTCTGTTTGAAGTTCTAAGTGTGTCAAGGTTTAGATATGAGGTTTAGATATGAACTCATGTGTGAGACAATGCAAGAAAATTCAGAGGTGAAATGATTAGAGGATGATAGTTATAATCCAGTTAGTAGATTAATCTTCTCATATGGATTAACTGAATGATAACTGAAGGTAGATAGGCTGTGGCTGGAGGAGATGGGTTATAAGATGGGTATAAGCTTTTGGGGCTTATGCTTTGTCCCCATTGAGTGGATCTCTATTATTGCTTTCTGATTCCATGTCCTGAGGTGCTTTCCTGCTCTACACTCTTCCACCATGATGTTCTGCCTCACCTCAGACCCATAGCAATGGAGTTGGCCATCTGTGAACTGACCTCTGAAACCATGAGTGCCAAATGAATTTTTCCTCTTCTAAATTGTTCTTGTCAGGTTTTGGTCACAGTGGTGAAAAAGCTGAATAAAACAAAAATGGTTCTACTATCTGGGTCTCCATATCATTCTCATGATTTGGAACATTTTCTGCCATTATTTCACTGACAGGGGAGAACAAAACAAAATAGAACCAAAAAAAGACAAACACAAGAACAAGAAAAGTCAAATGTTCCTCCTTGATATGATATTTGAAATTGAGATGCTTCTTTCCCAGACCTCTACTTTTGGAATCTGCCAGGTATGGGGTGGGTCATGGGTCTCAACTGCAGTCCAGTGTGTTTCTTCTTACTTCTGAACAAACAAGTTATAGCTTATTTAGGCTGAGTCCCCACTGCATATTTGCCCACTGGCTTAAGCTAAACCAAAGTTGTCCATAGTTGGGACAACTTTAAGAGGACAACTTTAAGAGAGAGCCTACAGAATGGGAAAAAAATCTTTGTCACTTGCACCTTAGATAGAGCACTAATCTCCAGGATATATAAAGAACTCAAAAAACTTAACACCAAAAACAAAACAAATAATCCCATCAATAAATGGGCAAAGGAACTGATCAGACACTTTACAGAAGAAGAAATACAAATGGTCAACAAATATATGAAAAAATGTTCAACATCACTAGCAATTAGAGAAATGCAAATTAAGGCTACACTGAGATTTCATTTCATTGCAATCAGAAAGGCAATTATCAAGAATATAAGTTATAATAAGGGTTGGTGAGGAAGTGGGGAAAAGGCACACTCGTCCATTACTGGTGGGACTGCAAATTGGTGAAACCCCTCTGAAAAGCAGAATGGAGATTTCTCAGAAAACTTGGAATGGAACCAAAATTTATCTGACTCCTCAGCACATACCTAGAGGACTTAAAATCAACATATTATAGTGACATGGCCACATCAATGTTCATAGCAACTCCATTCACAATAGCCAAGCTTTGGAACCAACCTGGGTGCCTTTCAACAGATGAATGGATAAAGAAAATGTGGTATATATACACAATTGAATATTACTCAGCCATAAAACGGGATGAAATTATGGCATTTGACAGGAAATGGATGGAACTGGAGGTTATCATGCTACGTGAAATTATCCAATCCCACCAAACCAAAGGCCAAATGTTCTCTCTGATATGTGGATGCTGACTCTCATAGGTGGTGGTATAGGGGGTAGACAAGAAGAGAAGAGTGGAGGTTCACTGGATTGAACGGGGACAATATGGGGAATAAATGGGGGATGAGAATGGGAAAGGCAATAGAATGAACTGGACACAACTCTCCTATGTTCATGTATGAATACATGACTAGTGTAACTCCACATTATGTACAACCACATGAATGGGAAGTTATACTCCATGTGTATATGATATGTCAAAATACATTCTACTGTCCTGTATAATGAAAGTAAAAAGAAAAAATAAGTAACCCTTTTCCCCATATTTTTATATTTTTTCCTTCTGTGACTTCCATAATGCAATCATTTGTTCACTTGATGTTGTCTCATGAGTCCCTTGATGGCTGTCTTGACTCCTTTTAATTTCTTTTCTTTTTCCTCTGACTGAGTGATTTCAAAAAGACCTATCTTCAAGTTCACAGATTCTTTTATTTTGCTTGCCCTATTCTTCTATTAAAGCTTTTGATTGTATTTTTAATTTTGTTATTTTTTTCAGCTCCAAGATTTCTGTTTGCTTCTTCTTTTATGGCATTTATCTCCATTGAATTCCTCATTCAGGTAATGAATTTTTTCCCTAACATCACTGAATTGTCTATTTGTATATAGCTAAGTTTTCTTAAGATCATAATTTTGAATAATTTTACAGGTGATTAATACATTTCCATTTCTTTGGGGTTAGGTTTTTTTTGTTTTTTTTTTTTTTAAATTATTATGTTCCAATAATGTGCTGTAACATTTCCTTGCTTTTTCATGTTCTTGTGGCCCTGCATTGATCTTAATGAATTTTTTGCTACTGTCACCTCTTCAAACTTAAGACTGGTTTTCAAGATTTTTACCTGGGGATGGGCCTGAGGATGCTGTTTGGGCAGTGTACAGTGGTTCTGGTTCTATGTGGGCACAGTGGTATGACCTCCATGCAGCTTCTTCAGTTGTCATCAATTTAGCTGTGACTGGTTGCCTCAGCCTGTGTGGGTGCCAGATGTTTGTGGCACTGATAGTGGCTGCAAAGTTGTTTAGGGCAAGAGCTTTAGGAATCTTCCTGTTCTTGTCTTCTTCATAGTGGAGAGTCTTTGATGAGGTGATCTCTCTTAGTTAGGGTCTTACATATCTCACAGGCACCCACAAACAGCACTGGGATTCAGGACACAGGTGCATATGGTGACTGTGGAGCCAGATTCCTAGGATCATGGCCTTGCAAAACTACCATATAACCTGAATTGTAGGGTCATTCTCCAATACATGAGTGAATGCAGTTCTGCTATGCCAGGATTTGTTTTTTTGAAGCATACTATGGCAGCTCAGGCTCAGGGGGCTGGGATACAGTTATGGTTCTGATTCTGGGTGGTAAGAGGACAAACTGGCATGGCTCCAAAGAAGAAGTGTTTCTGAGGCCCAGGCCTTAGGGACCAGGGAACAGCTATAATTTGGGACCCAGAACCAGTAGACCACAATGGCAGCTCCCACTTCAGGATGAGGTACTCTGCAGTTGAGACTCTGGATCCTGGGGTAGTGAGATACAGCAGTAGCCCAGCTCTGTGAGGCTTGGAGCAGCAGTAGCAAGGACCAAGGAATGGCAATATGTCTGGGGGTACAGGAAAATAGCACAGCAATGACTTCACTTCCCACAGAGGGAAGTGTCTCAGCAGCTTGGTCTGTTAGGGGCTAGTCTAGTTCTGGCTAGTATGGAAGAACATCATACTAGTTCAGCCAAGATTCTGATTCCCTGGCATGTGAGGCACCATATCTCCTTGGCTTCAGAAAGTGTGACTACATGGGTCTATGGAACCTCTGGATACTTGTGATTGAGACCCTGCATTAGCTATTATGCTGAAAGATGAAGCTGCTTCTGTGCCAGAGGCTTGGAGTTCATAGGGGATGGCTGCTGCCTCACTTGTGACACAAGGGAGTGTGTCTGCTCCACATGCAGGTGGCTTGAGATTCCTGGCTAGTGGTGTGCTGCCTCAGCTTTGGCACTAGGGATATGACTACTCTAGTAGTCTGAGACTCTGGCTCTTTAGGGATGGGTACCACTTCAGCTCAGCCATAGGGGCACAGTGCATCAGTGAACTGGGAGAGGAGGATGGAGCAATTCTGGTGTAGCTTGCCCTAGGGGCAATAGCTCTGTTTAGGGATCATGTGCTATCTGGTGGGAGTGGTTCCGTGGAACCTCAGGATGAAGAGGTGCAATGGCTATTTTCACTTGGAGCAGGACATAGTCTAGGAGTATCTCTGTTTCCCAGATGGTGAAACTCAGAAGCAGCGCAGGAAGTTGAGCATAGTATCAGTGCCTTCTCTGGAAGCAGCTCAGAATGTGGCCTCAGGGAAACTCCCACAGTAGTGAAGACACTTGATGTCTGTGGTGGTGATGGGGCTGTTGGGGTCCTTTGCCTTGCCTTTTCTGCTGCAGGTTGAAATCCCACCTAGTTTGTGGCTGACTCTGACTGGGGGAATGGGTTGGTAGAGGCAAAGCGTGTTTCTTCCCTTCTATATATGGCTATCCTGGGTTTCTGTGCTCTGCAAGATTTCTGCTACATCTTTGCTATTCTCCACTGCTTTCCTTTAGTTATTTTGGTTGAAATGTAGTTTATTGATTGCTTTGGGGTTTTTGTTGGAGGCAAGAATTGTAGGAGTGTCTGGTCCCCCATCTTGCTGACGTGCGCCCCAATGTGAATTCTTCACTTACCAAAGTTTAATGTTAATCAGTACTTTCCCTCTCCTCCCAGAAAACAAAAGGACCTTTGGACTCATTTCATCTATCCCTTCCAGCTTTTGTATTTTTGTTTTCAGATATTTAATGCTATGTGTATGTTAATTAAACCCAAAGGATAGTATCATTTTTATATAGTGCTCAGTTAAATATACCACGACATTTACTGTTGGTTTTTGTTTTTGTTTTGTTTTGTTTTGTTTTTTGCCTTCACTTCTTTTTACATCTTAAACTTTTTAGCTAGGATCATTTTCCTTTATTCTAGTTATCATTTAGAGTTTACTTTAATGAAGCAATTTTAGCTCAACCTCTTTTTTTTCAGTTTCAGTTTATCCCCAAAGTTAAATTTTTGAAAAGTAAATCTGCTATGAACATTTGTGTATTAATCTTTGAACATATATTTTCATTTCTTCTAGGTAATTTGCTAGGAGGAGAATTGCTGCATTGTATGACAAATATATGTTTAAATTTTTAAGAAACTGCCACACTTTTCCAAAGTGGCTGTATCAGCTTACATTTCTGTTAGTAGTAGCAAGCTCTTAGTTTCTGTATATCCTTGCCAACATTGTATTATCAGTATTTTTTATTATATCTGTTCTAATAGGTATGTAGTGGTGTGTTATTAGCGTTTTAATTTCAGTTCCCCTAATAATGAATGATTTTGAACATCTTTTCATGGGTTTATTAGTCATTTATTTATCTTGTTTGGTGGAAGAGATTACAGGTGTGCACCACTGTGCCCAGCTAGATATAAACCTAGTGCTTTTAAGTGTAAACTAAACGTTGACTCTAGGAGGTCTTCATCATCTCTAGGTGCTTCATCCATGAGTTTTTATTGGTATAATTTAGGGTCCCCAAGAAAGAATATAGAAATTGCCCTTTAAAGTTGCAAATATCTCTAGCCCTCTTATAAGTTGAGGATTAATCATGCCTTGAAGAAAGAGGGGGAAAAAAAGAGAATGTCTTAAAAAAGATAACTCTCTTCTTCAAATTCGCCTGCTTTTCAATTTTTTTCCTTTTTTTAAAAAATATGCTTTATTTTTTTAAGAGAGAGAGAGAGAATTTTTTAATATTTATTTTTTAGTTTTCAGTGGACACAACATCTTTAGTTTATTTTTATGTGGTGTGGAGGATCGAACCCAGTGCCCCGTGCATGCCAGGCGAGCGTGCTACCACTTGAGCCGCATCCCCAGCCCAAAAAAATATGCTTTATTTTTAAGAGCAGTTTTAGGTTCACAACAAAATTGGCTGGAAAGTACAGAGTTCTTATAAATCTCCTGCCTCTGCATATTCACATTCCTCCCCACAGCTACCAACATCCCATTGACACATGATTATCCAAGTCCATAATTTACATTAGTATTCACCTTTGGCATTGTATATTCTATGGGTTTTTTCAAATGTATAATGACATTTGCCTCCCATTATAGTATCATAAAAAGACTTTTACTCTCCTAAATATCCTCTGTTCCACTTATTCATCCCTCCCTTCCCTTTAACCTATGGCAACCATTGATCATTTACTGTCTTTTTTTCTCACTAATTTGTCTTTTCTGATTGTAATCATACAGCCTATAGACTTTTCAGATTTCTTTTTTCATTTAGTAAAATGTATTTAAGGGTCTTCCCTGTCTTTTCATGGTTTAATAGTTTATTTCTTTTTACTGCTGAATAATATTCCATTGTCTGATGTTCCACATTACCTACTGAAAGACGTCTTGATTGCTTCCATGTTTTGACAATTATAAATAAAGGTGCTATAAATATTTGGGTGCAGATTTTTCTGTGGGAATAATTTTTCAACTCCTTTGGGTAAATACCAAGGAGTGCAATTACTGGGTTGTATGGGTGAGTATGTTTAATTTTGTAAGAAACTGCCAGGCTTGCATTCCCACTCTCAAGTGGAAATTCCTTTGGTCCTCCATCTTCCCCAGAATTGGCTGTTGCCAGGGTTTTGGATTTTGTCTATTTCTTTTTATTTTTTGAGAGAGATGAGAGAGAGAGAGAGAGAGAGAGAGAGAGAGAGAGAGAGAGAGAGAGAGAATATGAATGAGAATTCTTCCAATATTTATTCTTTTTAGTTTTCGGCGGACACAACATCTTTGTTTGTATGTGGTGCTGAGGATCGAACCTGGGCCGCACGCATGCCAGGCAAGTGCGCCACTGCTTGAGCCACCTCCCCAGCCCGATTTTGTCTATTTCTAATAGGTCTATAGTGCAATCTCATTGTTTAAATTTTCCCTGATGACATATGCTGTGGAGCATCTTTTCAGGCACTTATTTTTCATTTGTCTATCTTTTTTTGATGATGTGTCTATTTGAATAAAGTCTTTTACTCATTTAAAAAGATTGGGTTGTTTCCTTATTATTGAGTTTTAAGAATTCTTTACACATTTTAGATAAATAGTTCTTTATCAGGTGTGTCTGTGGTAAATATTTTCTCCTGGCTTCCCTTTGAATGTTTTGCCTTTTCATTCTCTTGACAGTGTCTTTCTTAGAGCATAAATTTTAAATTTTAATGAAGTCCTGTTTATCATTATTATTCATGGGTTATGCTTTTGGTGTTACATCTAAAAATTCATCACCAAACTCAAGGTCATCTTGATTTTATCTTATGCTGTACTATAGAATTATTATTGTTGTGCATTTTACATTATGTCTGTGATGCATTTTCAGTGAATTTTTATGAAGAATGTAAGGTCTGTGTCTAGGTTTTATTTTTTCTTTTCTTTTTGCATACGGAGGTCTAGTCATTCCTGCACTAGTTGTTGAAAGGACTGTCCTTGTCTTGTCTTTATTACTTTCTTGTAAGTTTTGAAGTTGGGAAGTTTCAATTCAATGATTTTATTTT